TATATACCAATTATCTCAGACAGGTCACCCTGTATACCAATTATCTCAGACAGGTCACCCTGTATACCAATTCTCTCTGACAGGTCACTCTATATACCAATTCTCTCAGACAGGTCACCCTGTATACCAATTTTCTCAGATAGATCACTCTACAGACCAATTCTCTCTGACAGGCCACCCTGTATACCAATTTTCTCAATCAGAAATTAAATCATCACATGTTACTGTTACCTAATAAACAACAAGTACAACTCTCTCAATCAGTGTGCAGGCATCACAATCAGCTGAAATCTGTTTACATTATCCAATCTCAGGTGTGAGGATTTCAGGTAAATATTCATATGTCAAGATCTCAACACTGACCTTACTGTTTTGGTCAACATCTTAATACCTTTACATTTATTTTTACTTTTCATCTTACTCTTGACCTCTGTTTGTATCAAAATATTCCTTTTCAATTAGATACACAATGCATTTGAATGTAAACATCAACTATTTGATGGCACATGCATTATAATAACATAAATAATAGAAAAGCATAATGCAATTTATTCTTAATGTTCAAACTATATTATCATTAAACAAAGACCACAAATTAAAACAACATTTAACCAGCGCACACTTTGGAAATAGGCTCAAATTCATAAAAAATATCTTTTACAAAGAATACATCAAACCTTTAGAAACGAAATTCTTTCCAAAAGCACAGAAACAGATATAAATCCAGAACAATGTCAAAAAAGAGAAGGACATGCATCTCACTGTGAGACAGACATACCAAGAGAGAGCTGAGGTACAATACCGATTTACTGGAGACAAAGCGAGGCAGAAACAATACACCAACACTCTACAACACCTCACCTTCTAACTTACCTCGACAACTCACCTTAACAGGCAGCTTAATAACTGGTAACTCACCTGGATAATTCATCATCAGCTCACCTACTACTAACATAGACAACTTAGACTGGGAAACTCACCTGGATAACTCATCATCAGCTCACCTACTACTCAAATAGAAAATGTAGACTGGGAAACTCACCTGGATAACTCATCTTCAGCTCACGTACTGCTCACATAGACAACTTAGACTGGGAAACTCACCTGGATAACTCATCATCAGCTCACCTACTACTAACACAGACAACTGAGACTGGGAAACTCACCTGGATAATTCATCATCAGCTCACATACTGCTCACATACAAAATGCAGACTGGGAAACTCACCTGGATAACTCATCATCAGCTCACCTACTACTCACATAGACAACTTAGACTAGGAAACTTACCTGGATAACTCATCATCAGCTCACCTACTACTCACATACACAATGTAGACTGGGAAACTCACCTGGATAACTCATCATCAGCTCACCTACTACTTACATACACAAATTAGACTGGGAAACTCACCTGGATAACTCATCATCCGCTCACCTACTACTAACATAGACAATGTAGACTGGGAAACTCACCTGGATAACTCATCATCAGCTCACCTACTACTAACATAGACAATATAGACTGGTAACTCACCTAGATAACTCATCATCAGCTCACCTACTACTAACACAGACAATGTAGACTGGGAAACTCACCTGTATAATTCATCATCAGCTCACCTACTACTCACATACAAATGCAGACTGGAAAACTCACCTGGATAACTCATCATCAGCTCACCTACTACTAACATACACAACTTAGACTGGGAAACTCACCTGGATAACTCATCATCAGCTCACGTACTGCTCACATACACAATGCAGACTGGGAAACTCACCTGGATAACTCATCATCAGCTCACCTACTACTCACATAGACAATGTAGACTGGAAAACTCACCTGGATAACTTATCATTAGCTCATCAACTACTCACATAGACAATGTAGACTGGGAAACTCACCTGGATAATTCATCATTAGCTCACCTACTACTCACATAGACAATGAAGACTGGGAAACTTACCTGGATAACTCATCATTAGCTCACCTACTACTAACATAGACAATATAGACTGGTAACTCACCTAGATAACTCATCATCAGCTCACCTACTACTAACACAGACAACTAAGACTGGGAAACTCACCTGGATAACTCATCATCAGCTCATCAACTACTCACATAGACAATGTAGACTGGGAAACTCACCTGGATAACTCATCATTAGCTCATCAACTACTCACATAGACAATGTAGACTGGGAAACTTACCTGGATAACTCATCATTAGCTCCTTACCTGGATAACTCATCATTAGCTCCTTACCTGGATAACTCATCATTAGCTTACCTATACAGGTCATCAGTATTATGTTTACAACACCAACAACAACAACAAATATTCAAATCCTTTTTGAGAGCTGTGTAGTAGCACTGTAGGCAGTTAATCACACCAACAGGTGGTTATTAACAGAAATACTGGCATCACAGTATTTGTGGTTATTAACAGAAATACTGGCATCACACCAACAGGTGGTTATTAACAGAAATACTGGCATCACAGTATTTGTGAAACACTATCATTGTTAATATATATATATATTTAAGTTCCAACTGTAACAAGAGATACCAGAGGGATATTGGCGCCCACCATTGTACCATCTTTATAAGTTCTTTGTCAGTTCGATCTTTTCTCTTCTTTTCTGTAATCTGTTTGATCGAGTCATGTTAACAGTAAATGCACCTTGAGGTAACTTTTGATCTAAACTTAATACTGCTGTGTATAAAAGACAACCTTCAAAGTGAGTTTGTCATTTCATATATTTACTAGTACAGTACTTAATGTGAAAGAAATAGAATCGATCATTGCAATATGAGAAAGATCTGTTTAGTTCTTCGTTTAGTCATTTTTTTTTATGATCAGTCTCAAAATATAGCATGCACAACGACGGATCAAGGGGAACCTACATATCAAATTTGAGAAAGATCTCTGCCCGACTTATTGAGAAACAGATTTAACAAACATTCACTTTCAAAATCCAAAATGGCTGCCTGTCGGCCATTTTGTTTCTCTGATCAGTCTCAAAAGTTGACCTGCACAACAAGGGACCAAGGGGAATCTACATATAAAATTTGAGAAATATCCCTCCAGTACTGCCTGAGAAATAGCGATAACAAACCTTCAATATCAAAATCCAAGATGGCTGCCTGTTGGCCAACAATGTTTATCTGTACATTCTCAAAATTTAACATGTGCAACAACAGACCTAGGGGAGCCTAAATAACAAATTTGAGAAAGATCCCTCTAATAATTCCTGAGAAAAAGTGATAACAAACCTTTACTGTCACAATCCAAGATGGTGGCCTATCGGCCATTTTCTATACCTGATCAGTCTCAAAAGTTGCCCTGCACAACTAGGGACCAAGGGGAACCTACATATACAATTTTAGAAAGATCGCTCTGGTACCTTTTGAGAAATAGTGATAACAAACCTTCACTATCAAAATCCAAGATGGTTGCCTGTTGGCCATGGTGTTTATCCGATCAGTAAGAGCACTCACCAATTAGTATCTCATTTCTAGAACTAATTCTTCTCAATATCATTAAATTAAATGTAGCCTTTTGATCAGTGTTTTTAATCATTTTCATTTGGCCAAACATGATGTCTAAGAACAAGTAGACTATGTTCGTCTCACCAAACAAAACGCATTTACTGGTCTGACAAACACGTCAACAAAAGGGTGAGGAATAGCAAGAAGTAAGCAGTCTACAAACAATGCCTCCACAACAGTTATCACTCAGCGAGAGACTGAAACAGATGACAAAGAGTAAACAAGGCCAACATAGTATGCAACAAGAGAGGAATCAATACAGCATTAAAGATGACAACTTTAAACAGAGTAATCAAACAGTCCAACACAAAGATTATTGTAGATCTGTGACATAGATTATTGTAGATCTGTGACATTTTATCTATATCTTTCTTTACCTCTATGGCCTTTTACCAAAATCTACTTTTAGATCTGTGGAATTTTACCCAAATCTACTTTTAGATCTGTGGAATTTTACCCAAATCTATTTTTAGATCTGTGGAATTTTACCCAAATCTATTTTTAGATCTGTGGAATTTTACCAAAATCTATCTTAACATCTGTAGAATTTTACCAAAATCTCCTTTCAGATCTACTGCATTTTACTCAAATCTCCTTTTAGATCTGTGGAATTTTACAAAACTCTATCTCAAGATCTGTGGAATTTTACCAAAATCTATCTGTAGATCTGTGGAATTTCACCAAATACCCCTTTTGATCAGTGGACTTTTTACCTATATCTCTTTTTAGATCTGTGGAATTTTGCACAAATCTATCTTAAGATCTGTGGAATTTTACCAAAATCTATCTCCAGCTCTGTGGAATTTTACCAAAATCTATCTCAAGATCTGTGGAATTTTACCACAATCTTTCTCAAGATCTGTGGAATTTTACACAAACCTATCTCAAGATCTGTGGAATGTTATCAAAATCTATCTGTAGATCTGTGGAATTTACACAAATATATCTTAAGATCTGTGGAATTTTACCAAAATCTATCTCAAGATCTGTGAAATGTTATCCAAAACCATCTTTACATCTGTGACAATGTATCCAAAGCTATCTCCAGATCTGTGACAATATATCCAAACCTATCTCCAGATCTGTGGTATTTTACCCACATCTTTATTAAGATCTGTGACATATTTTACACATATTTTTTACCTAAATTTTTATTCTTGCAGATCTGTGAAATTTTACCCAAACCCTTTTTTTTGTAAACTTGTTTTATGTAACATACACTTGTCTAATCTTGCTCTGGTTCCTTTGTTTTTCCTAAGTTATTTAATGACTTACTTTCTGATGTCAGGGATCTACGGACAAACCTATCGCTCACATGCACAGAGGATGGGGCTTCAGGCATACTAAACAGACCAGTGAAGACATCGTTTTGGAGGCATGCAGTAAGCGAGGATTAAGGAGAAAGAAACATGGGGTTGGACCAAACATAAGATAAAATCTTACTTGTTAATTAGATAATCAGCCACGCTAGTACATGTTCATTGCATGTAACAAGAAAAAAAGGAAGAAAACAAAACTTGGATCAGTTCACTATATAAGGTAATACACATTGTCTTCCTCTGGAAAAATTAAGTGAAATGAAAAAAAAAGGACTACGTTACTTATATAATATCTAATACATTCAGGAAGTAATGATTTCAATAAAACTACTATTTCTGGTCGAGCTGGTGACTATATACATAGCGTGACATAATGTTGATACAGTGGATGCAGCATTATGATAATGATAGGGTACAATTAGGGAAGTCTGTTTCTTCATCTTTACAGCAGCTATCGCAAACCTCCATATCACTCTCTAGTGTTAAGGTCATGACCCAGCTACAAGGTCATAACTTAATCCTAAGGTTATGACCCAGTCAAAGGTCAAAACTTAGTCCTTACTAATTCACAAGGTCATGCCTTAAACCAAAGGTCATGATCAAGTTTCAAGGTCATCACTTGGTCCAAGTATCACTGAGAAAATATTGTAAATTTGATCGGACTGTGTCAGAATTGGAATTAGTCAGTTTTTTAAGACTGTTCATATTGAGGTGAGAGGTTTTACATCAGTCCTGCTATTCAGCTGGCTGTATTGAGGTGAGCGAGGCTGTGTAGTAGGAGTAAAGATGTTAGACAAAAAAGGCGCATTGTGAGCTACAAGTGCGACATTCTAGAATTGGGCACAGTATAAAGGCCACCCTCCAGGCCAGAAATCAACCAAGGACACCCAGGCACCAAAGGGACAAAAAATGGACATAACAAAGAGCTTAGAAGCTAACTAAAGAATACTAAACACTGTTGAGGCAACCAGTACATCTTACATACAACTAACGGCAACGTCGACTTATCACAACTAACGCCAACGTCGACTTATCACAACTAACACCAACGTCGACTTATCACAACTAACGGCAACGTCGACTTATCACAACTAACGGCAACGTCGACTTATCACAACTAACGCCAACGTCGACTTATCACAACTAACGGCAGCGTTGACTTATCACAACTAACGCCAACGTCGACTTATCACAACTAACGGCAGCGTTGACTTATCACAACTAACGGCAACGCTAACTTATCACAACTAACGCCAACGTCGACTTATCACAACTGAGCAAACACAATTCACAGAACATTCCATGGTTAGCAAGTCAGACTTGTCAAAATCACAACTAGTGTATAAAAATTTGTAAAAAAAAAAGACTAAAATAAATGACAAGGTCTGTGGTCATAGACTCAGTATAAAACGTAAGCAATCAGAACCAATTCATAACAGATTTCATAACAGAGATTTCAAACCTACAGGCATAGCATTGTTGAAATTTTAGTCTAAGTACAAAGGACAGGTAAGCAACACAGGTATTTACATTGGTCTCAATACTCGAGTGAAAACATACTTTAGGCCTGAATCTATAACACTAGTGGGGACATGCTCCAAGCAAAGCTTTGTACATTCGTCTAAGCACAAAGGATGAGCAAAACTCTCTGAATCAACATCAGTACAAGGGATGATGACAAGCTCCCAGCAAGCCTCTCTGAATCAACATCGGTACAATGGATGATGACAAGCTTCCAGCAAAACTGTCTGAATCAACATCAGTACAAGGGATGATAACAACTTTCCAGCAAGCCTCTCTGAATCAACATCAGGACAAGGGATGATGACAAGCTTCCAGCAAGCCTCTCTGAATCAACATCAGTACAAGGGATGATGACAAGCTTCATGCAAGCCTCTCTGAATCAACATCGGTACAAGGGATGATGACAAGCTTCCAGCAAAACTGTCTGAATCAACATCAGTACAAGGGATGATAACAAGTTTCCAGCAAGCCTCTCTGAATCAACATCAGTACAAGAGATGATAACAAGCTTCCAGCAAGTCTCTCTGAATCAACATCGGTACAAGGGATGATGACAAGCTTCCAGCAAGCCTCTCTGAATCAACATCAGTACAAGAGATGATGACAAGCTTCCAGCAAGCCTCTCTGAACCAACATCAGTACAAAGGATGATGACAAGCTTCCAGCAAAACTGTCTGAATCAACATCAGAACAAGGGATGATGACAAGCTTCCAGCAAGCCTCTCTCAATCAACATCAGTACAAGGGATGATAACAAGCTTCCAGCAAAACTCTCTGAATCAACATCAGTACAAGGAATGATGACAAGCTTCCAGCAAGCCTCTCTGAATCAACATCAGTACAGGGGATGATGACAAGCTTCCAGCAAGCCTATCTCAATCAACATCAGTACAAGGGATGATGACAAGCTTCCAGCAAGCCTCTCTGAATCAACATCGGTACAAGGGATGATAACAAGCTGGCTTCCAGCAAGCCTGTTATGTAGGTCTCAAAGCAGATCACAAACCCTAACCCTATCAAGCAAGTTTTTGTGTTGCATTACAAAGACTGATAAGAGGCTTCAAGTGAGCCTCTATGAATTGATCTCAGTACAAGGGATGGTAAAAGTTTCAGGCAAGCTTTTGTACATTGGTTTCAGCAGAAAGGATGGTGAGAGGCTTCCATCAGCCATTTTTATATTGATTTTGGTAACAAAGGGTACAACAAGCTTCAAACAATGCGTTTAAGACTGAGCAGTACAAGGGATGGAAATGGTTGTTCAGGCGCCTGGTTGTTGAGTGGCAGATTTTGTACTGTAATGTTCCCTTCACTCAATTTCTATTCTGACATTATCACATTAATGTTTTGGCACTGATACAATAGGGGCAGGACACACACAAATAGAGGGGTATTACACACACAAATAGCGGGGCAGTACTTACAGACATATGGGGGCAGCACATAAACAGATACTGGGGGAGCACATACAAATACATAGGGGGCAGCACTTACACAGAAATAGGGAGCAACACATACAAATACAAAGGGGGCAGCACTTACACAGACATAGGGAGCAACACTTACACAGACATAGGGGGCAGTACTTACACAGACATAGGGGCCAGCACCTACACAGATTTAGGGGGCAGCACTTCCACAGATAAATGGGGCAGCACCTACACAGATTTAGGGGAGTCACTTACAGATAAAGGGGGCAGCACTTACACAGCTATAGGGGAGTCACTTACACAGATTTAGGAGAGTCACTTACAAAGACATAGGGGCAGCACTTACACAGACATAGGGGGCAGCACTTACACAGACATAGGGGGCAGCACTTATACAGACAAGAGGCCCAGGAGGCCTTTATCGCTTACCTGGTTATTTAAGCAATCATGGCACAATATTTATATTTGCTCTTTAATGCCAATTAATAACCACTTCAGACATGTAGGGTAAGAACTTAGAAGCGTTACTATCGAGACTTCATAATTCATAAATAATTAAGGTTGTTACTATTACTAGCACATTAGTTGGGTAAAAAGTATGTGATGGCTGTTCATTTGTCGAATTGTCTATATAAACAATACCAAACTTTACCCCCTCCCCAAAGGCAAACGAGGGACCTGGGGCACATGAAAATCACAAAGTATATAAACCATTTGAAGGCCTTTACAACTATGAGTAGTGTTTGATAATAGCATTTCTGGAACTGCAGAAGAAGATTTTTGAAATTCGCCTCCTTTTTCACCCCAAACCCAGCCCCCAGGGGGGACAGGGTCACAAAAATTATACCAGCAGACCTTCCTCCCCTAATAAGTACTTGTGTGAAATATGAGCAAATTCCGTTCAAAACATTGGAAGATATGTCCTATTATGTATATTTCCTATACAAGAGGCCCAGAGGGCCTGAATATTTAAGCAGTCATAGCAAAATATTCTCATTCAATATTATATTGCACTACACATATTTCCCTCGCAAACTTTGTCAGCTCCATCTGTTGAAACTACTAGCCAAATATTATTATGATTCTATGCTTTTTGGTTCTTCTTCAGAAGTTAATTGACATATTTTCCCCTGTGACCTTGTAAGTAGGTCAATGTCATTTTCCTTCTCATACTTTGTTAGTTCTATCCCAAAAAGTTATCAACCAAATCTTATGAATCCATTCCATTTGGTTCTTGAGAACAAATCCATTAAAATGCTGTTGATCTCTGTCCTTTAAGGTAGGCTGAAGTCATTTTCATTCGCAAACTTTGGTGAGCTCTATCCCAGGAAGCCACCAGCCAAATATTATAATTTTATGCTTTCGATTATTTAGAAGAAGCCGATTGATGTTTTTGACATATTTGACACCTGTGACCTTGAAAGAAGGTCAAGGTAATTTTCATTCTCCAACTTTGTCCGGCTCTATCTCAAGAAGGCAACAGCCAAATATGAAGGTTCTATACCTTTTCGTTCTTCAGAAGAAGTCGTTTAAAGTGTTTGACATAATTGACAGCTGTTACCTTGAAAGTACGCCAAGGCCATTTTCATTCTCAAACTTTGTCTGGCTCCATCCCAGGAAGCCACCAGCCATATATGAAGAGTCTATACCATTTAGTTCTTCAGAAGAAGTCGTTTGAAATTTTTACATATTTGACCCCTGTGCCCTTGAAAGAAGGTCAAGGTCATTGTCATTCTCAAACTTTGTCAGGCTCCTACCAACAAAGCTATCACCCAAGTATCATGAATGTAGGCCTGTCCATTCTTCAGAAGAAGTCGTTAAAAGGAAAAGTTGACAGACGAAGACGGACGACGGATGCCAAACGACGGACGGACGATGGACGGACGACGTCCGCCGTGCCATGGCATAAGCTCACTAGCCCTTCGGGCAGGTGAGCTAATAAATGGGGCAGCACTTATACAGATACATGGGGCAGCACTTATACAGATAAAGGGGCAGAACCTACACTAACGGGGCAGCACTTATACAGATATAGGGGCAGAACCTACACTAACGGGACAGCACTTATACAGATTTAGGGGCAGAACCTACACTAGCGGGACAGCACTTATACAGATATAGGGGCAGAACCTACACTAACGGGACGCACTTATACAGATATAGGGGCAGAACCTACACGAACGGGACAGCAC